AAAAAAAAAAGAGAGAGAGAGAGACTGGGCGTGGGGGCGCGCCTGTAATCCCAGCTCCTGGAAAGCTGTAAACAGGCAGATCACTGTGGGTCTGATCTAGTAGTGAGATGCTGAGCACCCTGTAGACTCTTCCCTAAAATACAAAAAAAAAGGAAAGAAAGAAACTTGCCATATTTCCTGTCATGTAATAACTGCCTGTAAATATTTGGGTGAATAGTTAAATGACTATAAAGCAGAGTTTAAAGATTTCTTTAAATCTTCTCAGGCCTTGGATGCTTCCCCACTGCCCTGTTAAAATGGAGTTTATATGTATAAATATAACAGTTGTGTTTTCTGAATCCCTATAGGATATGTATAGCAAGTATGGGCAATTCTCTATATTTTTGAATAAACTATTGAAAACATTATGTAACCTTTTAAAATGAGACTATCAAGCCGCTAGCAGGCTGGGTGTGGTGGTGCACACCCGTGACTTCAGCACTCCAGAGACTGAGGCAGGAAGATCACTGTGAGTTTGAAGCCAGCCTGGGCTATATAGTGAGTACAAGGACAGCCTGAAGCTACACAGTGAGGCTCTGTCTCATAAAGCAAAACAAAAGAAAACTACAAAAGCAAATCTGCTAGGTGTCCATAAAGTGTTTTTTTGTTTTGTTTTGTTTTTGAGGTAGGGTCCCACAGTGTAGTGCAGGCTGGTTTTGAATTTGTTTATGTAGCTCAGGTTGGCATCAAACTCATGGTGATCCTCCTGCCTCAGCTTCTGGAGTGCTGGGATTATAGGCATGTGCCACCATGCCTGGCTCCATAAAGATTTCTAAGGAAACTGTTAATACAAATGTACTGGTAGAGAGCCCCATGGTTGGAAAAAGCAAGACAAATACTGGGAACACAGAAATGGTGAGCCCAAATTACAAATGAAAATAACAAATGTACATTTTCATGAAAACCATGTGATTTTTTTGAAGAAGATTTTCCTACCCACCAAAAAAAAAAAAAGATTTTCCTGCCAAGAAAGGAAAAACTTCAGCTTCATGAAGCAAAAATGAAAAACACATGAAGTGAGGAAAGGATGTTTCTTAGGTAGAGTAAGGCTGCTGCATGACTCCATGAAAAGTAGTTTTCTGTATTTGTCACCTCAGCAGATTTGTCTTTGTCATTGAAGTATATTTCTCGCTGAGGGTGGTGGCACATGCCTGTATTCCCAGCATTCTTAAATATTTATTTATTTATTTATTTATTTATTTAGTGTGTGTGGCCAGCTCAGCCCACCAGGGGTGGGGCTGGCTGGCATGTGGTACTGGGGGATTGAACCGCGGTCCCTGTGTTTTGCTTAGCTTAGCTTGTTCTAAGCAGGTGCTTTAGACCACTAAGCCATCTCACCAGCCCTCCCAGCATTCTTAAAAGGCTGAGGAATGAGAATTGCAAGTTGGAGCCCAGGCTGGGCATTTAGGACATTAACAGCACTGTTAATTTCCTAATAACAGCCTTAAATTTAAAAAGGGTTGGGGATGTAGCTCAGTGTGCAGTCAGTCTGTGGGTTCAGTTTCTAGTAAGACCAAAAAAAAAAGAAAAAAAGAAAAAAGAAAAGGCAAAGCAAAGTTCGTCTTGGTCTTGCTTAAAAAATAAAACAGTAAAACAGGGCCGGGGAGATAGCTCAGTAGAATAAGTACTTGCCTCGCAAGCGCAAGGGCCTGAGTTCCATCCCAGGTTCCACCAAAAAAAAAAAAAAAAAAAGAGCTGGCAAGATAGCTCAGCAATCTAAAGCACCTGCTCAGGCAAGCTTAGGCAGGCGCAGGGAATTACAGTTCAATCCCAGGCACCACATGCCACACCAGCCCTGCCCTCAGGGTGGGCTGAGCGGGCCAAAAAAGCAAAACCAAACAGAAACAGAGGCTGGGGATAAGATTTTTGCCCAGAATGTGCAAGGTCTTGAGTTTAGTCCTAGGAGGTTAAAAAAAAATCCAGTTACATTTATCTCTTTTTAATTAATGTGTTCAGTCCATTTATGTCTAAGGTACTTACTGATATGGCTGGATTTGCACCTGCTACTTTGTTCTTTTTTTTTTTTTTTAACTTTCTAAATTGTTATTATGACATCGACAAAATAATCTAAACTGAAGTGCACAGAAATGCTTGTCTCACTGACTTCAGCCCCACTGTTTCCTGTGTGTGCCAGGGCGCATTTGTGAATTGGAAACAGCTTTCCAGTTCACCTAACCCAACCGCCTCATTATGTGCCTGCAGACACGAGTGACTCCCACAGCGATAACACACACAGCTCTGTCTTCTGCTGCTTTCTGTACATGACCTAGAGTTTATTAAGCAGAATGGAGGGCAGGCAGTTGATCTCTGGTCAATCCGTCATAGTCAGAAGAGTAGCGGGTTACGCCTCATGGAGTACTGTATCTTTGGTAATAATGACGTTGACCTAGTCAAGTGATAGTTTGCATTACCATCAGCAAAGAAAAGAAGATCTGGAAATCTTCTAAGGATATTTGAAAATGCATATAGGAGCTGGGGCAATAGCTCAGCAATCTGGGTGCCCGCCCGGCAAGCAGAAGGACCTGGGGTTTGACCCTTGGTCCTGCATGCTGTGCCGGCCACTGAAACTGAGCATGGTGGTGCACACCTGTAATCCCAATGCTGGGGAGGCTGAGACAGGAGGATCATTATGAGTCCAAACTGTGCAGTGAGACCCTGTACCAAATAAATATGCATATAGTCCCCTGAAACTTAAAAAAAAAAAACAATTAACATTTGCATTTTTTCCAGCTCAAAATCTACACAATTTGGTCAAATTGAGCATTCTTGATTTATCAGAAAATTACCTGGAAAAGGATGGAAATGAAGCTGTACAAGAACTGAGTAAGGAGACTCGGGCTTCCGGGGAGACGTGGGCGCGGTGCTCTAGGGCTTCTCAGCTCAATAAACCGCTGTGCTTGATGAATAAAAATATATTGAAAGAAAGAAAGAAAGAAAGAAAGAAAGAAAGAAAGAAAGAAAGAAAGAAAGAGAAAAGAACTGAGTAGGAAGGACAACTCAGCCAAAAGCACATATTTGAGTATGAATAGCCAGCAGTTAGAAAATCAGCTCAGCCGGCTCTCTGCAGCCCTGTTAGCCTGGAAAAAGAAACACTTTCAGCACTTTCTTTCTTTTTTTTTTTTTTTTT